TATTCAATGAACTTTTAGATCAAATATATTTTAGAAGCCTATTTTTGGCTTTTTGGAATGGGTCTAGAGTGACATTGACCCTAGATCTAGTTTAGTCTTATCACTAAGGTGTGACTCTTACAGAATTTTCTACTTAATTATCTAGGTGCATAGCAATCCTCCATGATGGATGCTTAGAATTAAAACATCTCACATCTGTGGGAAAGCTCTGAGAATTGTTCATTTTAAAGCTACCTTATTTTTCTCTATTATAAATTTTCACCTTCCTCATGGGTGTCTTAGTATTCTACAACAGTCTCAAGGGTTCACCTATGAAAATTCCAAAGCTCTTTTTTAAAATAGCTCCCTCTTATTTACAAATTTGAAGGTTCTCAGCATTCTTACACACCAATAGCAATCACATCAAGTCAGTAAGATCCCTGTTTTTTGCTTGATTGTTCACTGTGTTGTGGTGGACTGAATGAGTTCTCCCAAAATTTATATGTTTAAGCCCTATCCTCCAATGTGATGATATTTGAGAGTGAATTCTCTGAGAGATAATTAAATCATGAGGCTAGAGCTCTAATGAATGGGATTAACGTCCATCATAAAGGAGAACCTAAAGAGCTCTCTTGCTGTTTTGTAGTCATGTAAAAATACAATGAGAAATCTGTAGTTTGCAACCTGGAAGAAAATGCTTAACAAAACCCCACCATGCTGTTTGGATCCCTGATCTCAGAATTTCAGCCTCCAAAATTGTTAGAAATCAATTTCTATTGTTTATAAGTCATTGCGTCTATGGTATAACGTTCTGACATCCCAAATTGACTAAGACAGAAACCAGATGGGTCAAAAGGGAAAATGTGTAGTTGGGAATGAGAAAGAAGTACATGTCAGTATCCCAGGTAAACACAAGCATGGAAATAGAATCAAGGTGAAAATAATAGAAAAGTTTCCAGAATTTTCACCAAGAATTGGAGCGTTTAGGATGTAATTAAGTTTAGATGGGATTATGAGGATGGAGCCCCCATATTGCATTAATGGACTTACAAGAAGAGGTAGAGACAATAGCCCTCTTTCTCTCCGTTAAGGACACACTGAGAAGGCAGCATCTTCAAGCCAAAAGGAGGACTTTCACCAAGAACCCAATCTGCTAACACCTTGATCTTAGACTCTGCAATCTCCAGAGCTGTGAGAAATAAGTATCTGTCATTTAAGTCAACTAGTTTATGCTATTTTGTTACAACAGTCCAAGCCGACTAAGATATCCTCTTTGGACTTTTGTGCCATAATGTGGCTCCAAGCATAAAGCCAAGGTTATTATAAAGCTCATCTCTTTTCTCTCTCTCTCTCTCTCTCTCTCTCTCTCTCTCCAGGATAACAGTCGTTTACTTTTTTGATGTCTAATGTTTGGTAACAATTTTAAATGCTTTTGTCCAGTTTTCTAGTTGTTTAGAAAGTACTAGTTCCAGATATTCTATAATAACCAGAAGATGAAAAAAAAAACCTAATTTAAAAATTATCTTTATAAATTATTTTATTTAAAATTAAGTTTTAAAATTTTGGATGTTGGTATATAGAAATAAAATTTATTTCTTCACATAACATCTATCTACCTTACTTTCCTAAAATAGTCATCAAAATTTACCTATAGTTACTTTTTTCAGTTTTCTACATAGACCATTTCATCATCTGTAAATAGTAAGTTTTCGTTTTATGATTTCAACAACTTGCAATATTTTTTTACTATTTCCTGCACTGCTAGAATCTCTGATCTGTGCTTGATAAGAGTACTGATAGTGAGCTATGCTGTCCTGTTTCTGATTTTCAAGCAATACTACCAACATTTCACCATCATGTCTGAGCTTTCATGAAAGATTTTTCTAAACACTCTGTTTAGATTGAGAAAATTTGCTTCTATTTCTTTGTATTTCTCAATTTTGAATGATATGGCTCCTCACATCACAAGGGGTCAGAAACAAGCTAAAGATAAATTGGTCAGAATGGAAAGACTCAGTTAAGAACTCCTAATTATACTTACGGTTTACCAATGCAGGAATGGTTCAAGAATAAATGGTTAAAAGTAGATGGGCCCAACAGCAGTGTTTTAAATTCATAAATGGGCTTGAATCTGATACTGAGTTTAGTTTCCAGCAGTTTGTTTTAAATACCTCAGCCTAGGTGGGAACTGTTTTCAGGAAGGAGGTGTAGCTAACTCCTACTAAGCATTCATTATTGGCTAAGACAGCAGTGCCCATGAGTTGTGATATCAAACATACTCTTCCTGTTAAATTGTCAGCTGGCCAAATTAAACTATTTTGACAATGTAAGAGATAGAGTTTGTTCACTATCCTATTAGAAAGCATTTGTTCTCCCAGATTCTATACTAGTAACTGAGAAACCATAGGATAATTCAACAAACATGGTCCCTGTCCTTACAGAGCTTGAACTCTAATGGCTTCATGGGAGTGTCTACGGTTTTCCTTTAGAGAAGTTTTATCTTCCTTTCTGTAATTTTCATCTTAATCAGCTACCCAGTTCTTTCATTATATACTGTCTGACTACCTGCCAGCTTAAATATAGGACTTTCTCTCTTTCTACTTGCTATGTACAAAATAAATATGTGAGATAATCTGTTTGCAGAGGTTCCCAAAATTCCTCTGTTTATGGATCTCTTCGTATGTCAGGAACATTGTGCACTTAGTATGTCACTTAGTATGTCAGGAACATTATGTACTTATTGTGCCCCAGGCCAAAATATTTCCAAGGATTACATTTATTAAGTAGTAATTTTCAAACAAATTAATAGTATTTATGACCTACCAACAGTGGCAACATGAAAAAATTGCAAAAAAATTATTTTATTGTCAAATAATCATAATTACTTACTAATGAGACATGTGCGCCTGAACAAGTTCTTAAATTTTTGGAACTAAATTGCAGATTACCATTTCTTGTTTCACAATGATTTTCACCTAATATTTTCCTTTTATTACATCAACTGCCAAAATTCAAGTTGATGTCACTGAAAATAATATAGCACAATTGAATGTTGAAACTATAAAATATTTTAAGCTAGTAGTCTATGTTGTGTCTGACAGATATCAAATATAATACTTTTCTGAAATTTCAAAATATTTCACAATACCCTGTGAGTTCTTTGCATCTTCCTGAGGCAACTTAGCGCACAATTTGGGAACTATATCCTGTTTGCCTTTTCTTATTCTCTGTGTTATGTGTACATCTTAATTTGGTGAACAAATTTGTTCAACATCCATCTGGGTAATGAGTGGCAATGACTTTATATATTACCATCCCTTAATAAAATTCTTGTTTTAAAGCAGCCTTACTAAATTTGTCCAAATTAGGAAACATGTATATTTCCCCGGCAGATGGTGACCCCGACATGATACTTCAGTGGTGGAGAGACAATTTTAAATGTGGAGGAAACATTTCTAAATTTCTTCATTCACACTAAATAGAAGATTATCTATTTCATTCTTCAGAAAACCCAATCATTTCAAGACTCCCATCAGCACTAGAGAATGTCCAATTACCTATAAGGATATGATGTGTCAGTTACTAGCTCTGTGTTCCTGGAAGTTACTTAACTTCCTTGTGCTTTACTTTTCTCATTTTTAACATGAAAAAGAAAATATCATTTATTTAATAATCTGGATAGCAAGATTAACATTTAGAACAATGTTTTTTACAGATTAATTGCTCAATAAGTGTTAATCATTATTATAGGTAGAAAGAATAGGGATCAGTGGCCTCCCAGAAATAAAAGACATGTGAATGAGTAGATCTATGTCCTCTCTGTCATTTATTTTGGTCAGTTACAAGGGTTATAGGACAATGGGGAAACTGTATCATTTTTAATTGTAATACAATGATCCCAGCAAGTGGCTCTAAATTTGTGGGTCATCCTGATTTTTCTGGCTTTATACAGTGACCAAATTTTTAACAATATCAATTAATTTGAGCCAAGGGGTCAGAACTGTAAGACATGAACACCAGGGCTTGAATATAAAGTATATTTGCTTTTGAATTTAAAAAGCGAAAGGGCTTATTAAAGACTAATACCATTCAGTTAAGTAAAGGTAGAGAAAAAGGTAAAAGTCCACTCATTTTTAAATCTTTGCAAAGGTTTTGATTGTAATTGCTCTATTTTTAGATCCTTGTCCCAGTTTACAGTAAGTAAACTAAAAATGCAAAGACAAAATAAAATAAAGAAACATTTAAACTTTAAAGTATTGAGTAATATAGTATTTCTATTTTATTATAGCCAAGAGTACAGAGAATCTTAAAAACTCCATGCATTGATACTGGTTTATTCAAAATATCACACTGCTCCAGACTACTAGTAATCTCCAGCTTCCGGGGTATTCCCCTTTGTTTTTAAATAATGTGCTTAAAATATAAGCAGTTGTGTCTTTTTCTCTAGGAGTCTCTAGAGAAGGCTTCACACCTCATGGAAAAAGAAAAAGACACTAGAAATAGAAGTTCTAAGAGAGAGTTTAATGAAGATTTTTTGTGGCTTTCCTGAGTAAATATTTAGTAAATTCATTTTGCTTTAAATAGATTCCATCTTATACAACTTGTTTTACACTTTTATGAATATACACAGTAATAACCATAGAACAAGACAATGGTTGAATAGGAGCAAAGTGAAGAGAAAAATAAATTAGGAATCAGATGTGTGGGAGAGAAACAACGAGTTAGGAAGGAGTAGGAAACCTGGGATAAAGTAAGTTAAACCGTCTTCAAAGCTTATTTGGAAATAAGTGGGATATAAATAAGAAAATAACACCAATTAAAGCTGGACACCAGGAGGAGGTCAGTTTAGCAACTGAGAGCTTGAAGCCTAAAAGAAGTTATTTTAATAAGTATTTTTGAGAAAGTGAAGAAAATTACTGCTCTGTTGTCAAGGGCTGACTCAGGCCTGACCTTGAGTACCTGTATTAGTCATGGTTCTCTAGAGAGACAGAACTAATGGAATATATAAAGTATTAACTTACACAATCACAAAGTTCCACAGTAGGCTGTCTGCAGACTGAGGAGCAAGAAGAGCCAGTCTGAGTTCCAAAACTGAAGAACTTGGAGTCTGAAATTTGAGGTCAAGAAGCATCCAGAATGAGAGAAACATGTAGGCTGGGAGGCTAGGCCAATCTCCTTCTTCAAATGTTTCTGCCTGCTTTATATTCAAGCTGGCAGCTGATTAGATTGTGCCCACCCAGATTCAGGGTATGTATGCCTTTCCTGGCCCACTGACTCAAATGTTAATCTTCTTTGGCAACATCCTCAAAGACACACCCAGGAACCATACTTTGTATCCTTCAATCCAATCAAGTTGACACTCAGTATTAACCATTGCAAGTTAATGGTTAATACTGGCAAGAATGGTTAAGAACTGGCTAGAAATAACTCGCTCTCATTATGGCCCTCTGGAACCTTGGCAGGAAGGGATATCTTGAACACTACAGACACTTAGGGTGGCAGGAACATCTGATTAGAGAAATGGTGGAGGCAGCAAGCCAGCTGATGTAGAGCCCAGAGAGTTTGGTGCAGGAGTATCTGTAGTGGATCATGACCTGGATTGGCCACCCTCCTAGGCTTGACTTGCTCCCATGAGGCTAAATTTAGCCCTAGGGAAATTGTCACATCTAAATACATCAGAAGTGGCTGGTCCAACTTTAGCACACCTTAACCCTGCTGGCCTCTTCTGTGACCCCATCATAGCCACGCCTGCTTACAGGGCAGTCTCAAGTGCCCTAAGGGCTCACAACAAAGATTCTACACTGGAGTACCATGCCTGAATGGTGGAATACTCCAGTTGAGGCAGTCCCTATAGCCATGTACAAGTCCACATACTTCCTCTCCACATTACAGCTTTTCCTTGGGCCCAGAACAACTCTTCACATCACTTAGTGGGTGCATGTCTGCTTTACCTGCTCCTCCAGCATGTGGGAGTGCAGTCTGCTCCCTCACCCTATGGACCACAAATGCAGAGCACAGAACCAGCAAGCCAGTGCCATGCCCCTGTGCCAACCCTGAACAAAGAACAGCAGATTCTCCCACACCCTGAGCAATCATTCCTGAGCAATCACTCCTGAAAGACCATTACCACCCAGGTCTGCATTACACTTGTACCCCAAACCCAAGACACCACCACCTATGGTGCAAAAGTGCACACAGTCACCAGCAGGGGCCTCCCCAATTTCCTACAGCAGTTTCATTTCTGCTGCTGTGGGGAAAACCTGCAGGGAGGCAGGCACCCTTGCATCCATTAGCACTATTCTGTAGCTGCTGCACCCCAGCTCACTCAGGGGAGGGGACTCCAAACCTTGAGGAACCAGGGAATCTTTCAATAGAATCTAACATCTCTTCATTATAAAAATCTTCAACAATCTAGACACCAAAGGAGCATATTTCAGAATAATAAAAGCTATGATGACAACCCACAGCCAATAGCATACTGAACAGACAAAACTGGAAGCATTTTTCTTAAAAACTGGAGGAAGATACAGTAATTCTCACTCACAGCACTTTTACTCAACATAGTACTGGCAGTCCTAGCCCATGCAATCAGGAAAAATAAAGAAATAAAATGAATCACAGTAGAAAGAGAAGCATAATTATTTATCTTCACTGACCATATTGTTTTATACCTAAGAAACACTAATGATCCTGCCAAAAGTCTTCTGAAACTGATAAATGACTGAGTAAACATTTAGAATACAAAAATCAATATATGAAAATGAGTAGAATTTCTATAAACACAAAGCATTTAAACTGAGAGGCAAATAAATAATGCAATTACATTTACAATAGCCACAAAAGGAATAAAATACCGAGAGACAGGTGTGATCAAAGAGGTAAAAGATCTCTACAGGAAGTACTATAAAACATGGTGGAAAGAAATTACAGATGACACACACACAAAAATAGACATTTCATGCTCATGGATTGGAAGAATCAGTATCATCAAAAAGCCTATAATGCCCAAAGCAATCTACAGATTGACTAGTATTTCTATCAAACTGCCAATGTCGTTCTTCACAGAATTAGAAAAAAAACAAAAAAAACTATTCTAAAATTAACATGGAACAAAAAAACAAACAAACAAACAAACAAAAAAATGAGTAGCCAAAGCAATGCTATGCAAAATTGGAAAGCTGAAGGCATCACATTACGTGATTTCAAACTATACTACAAGGCTACAGTAACCAAAACAGCATGATACTGGTATAAAAACAGATACATAGACCAATGAAACAAAATAAATAACCCTGAAACAAAGGCTGTACACCTACAAGTAACTGATCATCAACAAATTTAGCAAAAATAGGCAATGGGTAAAAGACTTTCTATTCAATAGGTGGTGCAATGATAACTGGCTAGCAACAGGCAGAAGAAAGAAATTTGGTCCATACATATAATCATGTTTAATAAAGATGAATTAAATATTTAAATATAAGAGCTAAAACTACTAAAATCTTAGTGGAAAACCTAAGCAATCACCTTTTGGAGACTGGCTTTTACAAAAAAACTTATTACTAAGTACTCAAGCAATTGCAACAAAAACAGTAATTGACAAGTGAGATCTAATCAAACTAAAGAGCTCCTGCACAGAAGGAGAAATTATCAATAGAACAGATAACACACACAATGAAAGAAAATACTTGCAAACTATTTAGTAGATAAAGGTCTATATGCAAATCTATAAGAAATCTAATCAAAACAGCAAGCCAAAAACAATTATCCACATTAAAAAGTGGGCAAAATACATGAATATACACTTCTTAAAAGCATAAATTGAAGTGGCCAGCTAACATGAAAAAATCCTCAACCTCACTAATGATCAGATAAATGCAAGTCAAAATCACAATGAGACTTTATCTCCCACCAGTCAGAATAGCTATTACTAAAAAGTCAAACAAATAACAGATGCTGGTGATGCCGTAAAAAAAAAAAGAAGACTTATACACTGTTTGTGCAAATGAAAATTATTTCAGCCACTGAGAAAAGCAGTCTGGAGATTTTTCAAATAACTGAAGATAGAACTACTACTTGAGCCAACAATCCCTTTACTTGGCATATACTCAAAATAAAATAAATTATTCTTCCAAAAAAAAAAAAGTTGCACTCACATCTTCATCACAGCACTATTCAAAATAGCAAAGAAATGTAGTCAACCTAGCTATTCCTCAATGGTGGATTGAATTTTAAAAATGTGGTGGATATAAACAGCCATAAAAATGAAAACATTTATTTTACAGCAAAATAGATGCAGCTGAAGGACATTTTCCAAAGTAAAATAACAGAGAAACAGAAAGCTAAGTGCCATATGGTCTAACTTATAAGTGAGAGCTAAATATTGGATACACATCAACATAAACATGGGAAAAATAGACACTGTGATCTACCAGAAAGGGAAGAAAGGAAGGGGCAAAGTTTGCAAAGCTACTCATTGGGTACCATACTCACCACCTGGATGATGTGTTAAATTATACCCCAACCCTTAGTATCACACAATATATGCATATAGAAAATCATCACATGTACCCCTGATATGGTTTGGCTCTGTGTCCTCACCCAAATCTCATCTAGAATTGCAATCCCCTGTGTTGAGTGAGGGACCTGGTAGGAGGTAATTAGATCATAAAGCAGCTTTCCCCATGCAGTTATCCTGATAATGCACGAGTTCTCACAAGATCTGATGGTTTAAAATTGTTTGGCAGTCTCCCTACCTCCTGTTACCATGTGAAGAAGGGTCCTGCATTCCCTTCACTTTATTCAATAATTGTAAATTTCCTGAGTTCTCCCCAGTCTTGAGAAACTGTGAGTCAATTAAATCTTTCTACTTCATTAATTACCCAACCTCAGGTAGTTCTTTATAACAATGTGATAATAAACTAATACTAAAAATTGGTACCAGCAGTGGGGTACTGCTATAAATATAACCTGAAAATGTGGAAGCAATTTGGAACTGGGTACTGGCAAGAGGTTGAAAGAGTTTTGAGGGCTCAGAAGAAGACAGGGAGATATGGAAATGTTTGAAACTTCCTGGAGACTTGCTACATAGTTTTGACTACAATGCTGAGAGTGATATTGACAGTGAAGTGCAGTCTGAGGTGGTCTCAGATGGATATGAGAAACTTCTTGGGAACTGAAGCGAAGGTTACTGTTATTATGTATTAGCAATGAGACTGGTGGCATTTTGTCCCTGCCCCAGAAATGTGTGGAACTCTGACCTTGAGAGAGGTTATTTAGGTTATCTTGTAGAAGAAATTTCTAAGCAACAAACCATACAAGATGTGACCTGCATTATTCTGAAAGCATTCAGTTTAATGTGTTCACAAAGAGACGGTTTGAAATTAGAACTATGTTTGAAAGAGAAGCAGAGTGTAAAAGTTTGAAAACTGTGCAGCCTGAAAGTGAGATAGAAAAGAAAAATCCATTTTCTGGAGAGAAATTTAAGCTATCAGCTGCAGAAATTTGCGTAAGTAAAGATAAGTCAAATGTTTGTATCCAAGATAATGGAGAAAATGTTTCTAGTGTATTTCAGAGATCTTTATAGCACCCTCTCCTGTCACAGGCCCAGGAACCCAGGAGGAAAAAAGCCTCGGTGGAGCCTTGGGACATAGTGCCCTGTATCCCAACCACTCTTGCTTCAGCTATGGCTGAAAAAGAGCAAGGTACAGCTCAGGCTATGGTTTTACAGGGTGCAAACTCCAAACCTTGGAGACTTCCACATGGTATTGGGCCTGCCAGTGAACAGAAGAGTTGAGTTTTGAGATCCTCCATCTAAACTTCAGATGATGTATGAAAATGCCTGGAAATTTAGGCAGAATTCTGCTGCAGGAATGGAGCCCTCCTTGGAGAACCTCTATTAGGGCAATGCAGAGGGGAAATGTGGAAATGAAGCCTGTACACAGAGTCCCCAGTGAGGCACTTCCTAGTGGAGCTTTGAGAAGAGATGACACCAAAATCATAGATCCGCTTACAACTTGCACCATGTACTTGAAGAAGATGCAGTCACTCAATACCAGTTGGTAAAAGTAGCTGCAGGGACTATACCCTGCAGAGCCACAGGGGCAGAGCTGCCCAAGTTCTTGGGAGCATACTCCTTGTGTCAACTTGCCCTGCATATGAGACATGAAGTAAAATAAGACCATTTTGGAGCTATGAAAGAAAAATATATTGGGC